TTTTAAACTTATAAAAGACAGCCTCATTGGGAATATTTTAGTTTATTGTGATATGTGCTAACCGATTTCAATTAATTTCCCAACTTTAACGATGGCAAGCCTTTTTCAAATATTGTCGTCTTGATCTGGAAAACAAGTTAATTAATAAAACATTTTTAATCACTTATTTTTTTATATCTACAATAAGCCATCCATAATCGCTGACCTCTCGCAATAAAAAGAAATCTAACTTCATATTATTTGTAATTCATCAAATTCAGTTATATCAATAACGAGGGCATTCCTATTGGCTATCTGATTTTCCTTGATGTTTCGATAGACTGCTAGCAAGTTACTAAAAACTGTCATCCTTACTAATATGTATGGATGGATGTTTGTTACTCTTTCACGCAAAAACTACTGAATAGATTTTAATGAAACTTTACAATAATATAGATTTATACATCAGAATAACACATCTGTCTTTCTGTCTGAATGTTACGCCTTCAGCCTAATCTACGCAGACGTAGTCGCGGGCAGCAGCTAGTATAAAATAAAACAACAAGGGAAATTATATATTTAAGGTACACATGTCAACAAAGAAGACGGCTTCTGTAGTTTACAGTGTTTAGTGTTGTCCTCGAAGGCGTAAGTAAAATATCTATGTACATGTGGCACGCCACCTGAAAGGAAAAAGAATATTAAATAAAAATAATAAATAAATATTAATCGTATTACAAATTATACTTACATATTTCTGCACGAGATGCGTCGCGGCTGCGCTGGAGTTGGAAGCGCCGTTGCATCGCGCGATACGGTAGTGCGCTCACGGCTTCCGTACATTAAACTGCGTCACTTGTACCGATACGTAAAAAACTTGCGAATCCAGTGCTAACATTTGGACAATTAAATCTCTGTTGTGTATGTGTGAGTTCTAACGTTGTGTATGTATATGTTACGTGTTTTGTTTTTAAAGTGTAAATAAACAATATACCTGTGCTGAACAATTATAGTTTGATTTACAAACGCGACAACTATTATAGGTTTATCTCAAATAGAACCCGAAACCTATAAACTGGTGACCCCGACGTGATCTGAGGACCTTAAAGTAAGACCTACCTGCAATTTTTCAACAAACAAAAGATGTCGCGTCCACGTGAACTCAACCCGGTGAAGGAGACGGTCCCGCCGCATAAGGCCGACACTGAAAATTTACAAACGGGTTCAGAATTATTTCGAGTCGGTGTCAAGGTGCCCCCATTCTGGCCGGATCGCCCAGCTTTATGGTTCGCGCAACTAGAAGGCCAATTTATATTATCAGGTATAAATTCGGATACTACCAAATTTTATTTTGCGTGCAGCAACTTAGATCACCAATACGCGGTGGAAGTGGGCGACATTATTGAGAACCCTCCAAAGGAGAATAAGTACCAAACGTTAAAAGCAGAACTAATACGTAGACTATCGGCTCCCCGTGAAGAAGAGATAAAAAAAAATTTCTTAGTAGTGAGGAGATGGGAAATAGAAAACCCTCCCAATTTTTGCGGCACCTTCAACATCTGGCTGGACCGCAAATACCAGAAGAACTCATACGCACGACATGGCACAGCCGACTGCCACAGAACATACAGCCCATTATAGCGTCGCACGGTGACATGCCCATAGAAAAGTTGGCAGAATTGGCAGATAAAATACTTGCGATAGCTGCTCCAACACCTCAAGTCGCAGAGATAACGCCTTCTACTTCAGGCGCTTTGAACCAAACTTGGGTAGCGATGGAAGCGATGGCAAAGCAGATAACAGAGCTAACAAAGCAAGTAGCTGCATTAAGCGCACGTCAGAACCACCCACCGGGAAGGAGATTTTACCGAAGACGGTCAAGATCTCGTTCAAGATCTCAAAGCAGGAGTGATATTTGTTACTACCACAACAAGTTCGGTAGCCGTGCGTATAAGTGCACAAAACCATGTGGTTTCCAGCAGGGAAATGCCAACGGCAGCCAGTAGTGGCGGCTAATGACTGCCTTGATGAGTGCAACGGCCGCCTCTTTATAACAGAAAAGAAGACAAAGATAGAATTCCTTGTAGATACGGGATCAGACCTCTGTGTTTACCCGAAAAAGGCGACCGCAGGCCATCGAAACAAAACAAAGTTCGAACTATTCGCTGCAAATAACACAACGATATCCACTTATGGTTATTTACAGTTACATCTGGATTTCGGGCTGAGGAGAGATTTTACTTGGAAGTTTGTTGTTGCAGATGTAACAAAGCCGATAATTGGTGTTGATTTTTTAAGCCACTACAATTTGCTTGTGGACTGTCGACACCATCGCCTCATTGACAATCTCACCAGCCTGTCAGTGTCCATCGATCATCGGAACATAACCAGGGATGAAAATGTCACAGTTAAAGCAGTTTCTGGAAATTCACCATTTCATGATCTACTGAAACAATATCCAGAAATTACAAGACCTGCAGGTACTCCTACCGTACCCAAACATAGTACCAAGCATCACATCAGAACATCTCCTGGACCGCCAGTGAACGCACGTCCACGCCGACTAGCTCCTGATCGTCTAGCAATTGCCAAAAAGGAATTCGATGAGATGTTGCACAACGGAACTGCACGTCGATCTGAGAGCCCATGGGCGTCGCCATTACACCTAGCGCGGAAGAAAGAAAGACGATGGATGGCGTCCATGCGGAGACTATCGAGCTCTTAATGCGAGGACAATTCCAGATCGATACCCAATTCGTCATATTAATGATTTTGCTTACCAGCTATCAGGAGCCAAAATATTTTCAAAAGTTGATTTAATAAAGGCATACAATCAAATCCCTGTAGAACAGAGTGATATACCGAAAACAGCAATTACCACACCTTTTGGCCTCTTTGAGTTCCCATTTATGCATTTTGGATTAAGGAAACGCGGCTCAAACCTTCCAACGGTTCATAGACGAAGTGTGACGCAAGGGATGGACTACGTCTACGGGTACCTAGACGACATACTGGTATTCTCAAAAACAGATGAAGAACACTTGTATCACTTACAGCAACTGTTTGATAGATTCAAAAAATACGGTGTACTTATTAACACAGCGAAGTTCACTTTCGGAGTACCAGAAGTCACGTTTCTTGGTTACCACGTATCATCTGAGGGCACACGCCCCCTTTTAGAGAAAGTAGAAGCTATACAGCTACTTGAACCACCTAAAACTGCAAGACAATTGCGAAGATTTCTGGGAATGGTAAACTACTACCGAAGATTTATCGCTCACGCAGCCGAACTCCAAAGCCCATTGAACGAAGCACTCACAGGAAACATCAAAGGAGCAACACCCATAAACATGACGGACAAGATGTTAAGAGCCTTCCACAAATGTAAGGAAAGTCTGACAAAAGCTACACTTCTGTCACACCCAGATGTACAAGCAGAACTAGCTTTATTTACAGACGCTTCAGACGAAGCAATTGGAGCGGTACTGCAACAAAAAAGGAACAACGTGTGGGAACCACTGGGTTTCTTTTCCCGCAAACTTTCTTCAGCACAACAAAACTATAGTCCTTATGACAGGGAACTTCTTGCCATCTACGAAGCCATTAAACATTTCAGGTTCATGCTGGAAGCTAGAGATTTTGTCGTATACACAGACCACAAACCAATAACATTCGCGTTTACAACAAAAAGAGACAAATGCTCACCAAGGCAATTCCGCTATTTGGATTACAAATCCCAATTTACGACAGACATCAGACACGTGCCAGGCAAAGACAATGTTGTGGCTGATGCACTTTCAAGAATCGAGGAAGTAACTCAAGCGGTAGATTTTACCGATCTTGCAAGAGATCAGGAAAAAGATCCTGAACTGCAAGATCTACTTAAAAAAGATACCGCGCTGAAGCTAAAGAAGTTGCCAAACAATCAACTGTATTGTGATTTTTCGACTGAACAAATTCGACCTTACATTACACCAAGGTTTCGCAAACAAGTCTTCCGAAAAATGCATGAACTCAGTCACCCAGGTGCTACAGCTACCTACCGCTAAGCTAGTCGCAGAAAGATTTGTTTGGCCTGGAATAAGGCGAGACTGTAAAACTTGGACGAAACAATGCGCTGATTGCCAACTTAACAAAATAACCCGTCATACTTCCTCTCCTTTGTCCACGTTCCCCATTCCGTCACAACGTTTCTCCCCAAGTCCACATCGACTTAATTGGCCCACTGCCATATTGTAATGGTTTCAGGTACTGTTTGACTGCAATCGACCGCTTCACACGCTGGCCCGAAGTCTACCCGCTGCCGGACATCACCGCTGAAACGTGCGCCAAAGCTTTTGTTTCCGGCTGGGTGTCACGCTACGGATGCCCAGAATCAATTACTACGGACAGAGGTCAGCAATTTCAGTCGCATCTTTTCCAAAGTATTGCAAAACTTATTGGCACTGAGCACCGCCCCACCACCTCATACCATCCTCAATGTAATGGAATGGTGGAGAGGCTTCACCGACAACTGAAAGCTGCCATCGCGTGTCACAATGCAACTCAATGGTCGGAAGCGCTACCTCTAGTGCTCCTTGGCATGCGTGCAGCTTGGAAGGAAGACCTGAAAGCTTCGTCAGCAGAACTGGTTTACGGCGAGCCTATCAGACTACCGGGAGAATTTTTTAAGCCGGCGGCTGAACATACCTTAGATCCGTGTGACTACCTGGAACGGCTGCGAAAACATATAGTTGGTTTAGCACCGGTACCTGCATCTAATCACAACAAGAATAAACCATTCTATATACCCAAAGATATCTGGACAAGTAAGTTCGTGTTCCTGCGCCGTGGTCCTGAGAAACGTCCCCTACAGTCACCGTACACAGGTCCGTATAAAGTCCTAGAACACGGCCCAAAAACATTTAAAATAGAAGTACAAGGCAAAGAAATGACTGTTACAATAGACAGAATAAAACCGGCTTACCTCACGAGAGACGTCATCTGCAGGGACGAAGAATTCCAGATGCCAGTGATGACTACCGCACCCGAGCTACCACCCCCTTCACCTCAGCAAACTGAAAAAAAGACGAGAAGCGGAAGAACGGTACATTTTCCAAAATACTATCGACCGTGAACCGGTCTCGGTAGGGGAGTGATGTGGCACGCCACCTGAAAGGAAAAAGAATATTAAATAAAAATAATAAATAAATATTAATCGTATTACAAATTATACTTACATATTTCTGCACGAGATGCGTCGCGGCTGCGCTGGAGTTGGAAGCGCCGTTGCATCGCGCGATACGGTAGTGCGCTCACGGCTTCCGTACATTAAACTGCGTCACTTGTACCGATACGTAAAACTTGCGAATCCAGTGCTAACATTTGGACAATTAAATCTCTGTTGTGTATGTGTGAGTTCTAACGTTGTGTATGTATATGTTACGTGTTTTAAAGTGTAAATAAACAATATACCTGTGCTGAACAATTATAGTTTGATTTACAAACGCGACAACTATTATAGGTTTATCTCAAATAGAACCCGAAACCTATATACACTTCTCTCCTCAGTGACGGATATTGCATAACAAAACTGTGTGGTTGTCGCATTAGGCAACAGTGAATCGCTTACTAGCACACTTAAGCACAGGCGCTAAGGGTTACTTTCGTAGGTTTACACCTCCCTGTGGGGTGTACCTTTTAGTTTACTCACCGAAAGCAACAACGTCCTGTTCTTCAACTAGTCTTTCCGCCGCGGCACTACGTCCGTTCTAAAACATTCAAGGCATTCGGGTTTAAGAAGGAGGTTTCCACACCTACTCACTACCATACGACCGCATATTTTGGGTAGTTATTAGGGAGTAATGAAAAAATAAATTAAAGTCGATGAGACATTCGCCAAAATTCGATCGCACGGATTTTTTTAAATGTGAAAAGTTGCCAAACGAGCAGACGGTTTACCCGATGTTAAGTGAATGATGACTCCATGGCGCAGTTGCCAAGGCATTTGCTTCGTATGGGGGTCGTGGGTTCCATTCCCACACGAGACAACTATTTGTGTGACCCACAGATAGTTGTTTCGCATCTGGGTGTTTGTCCGCGTGAAATTTATGTTTGTAAAACGTCCTTTACAACACAGGATAATATTATCCTAAAGTAAGGGCAGTGTTTTTCACACAACCTAAAAAAAAAAAAAGAATAAGGCCGCCCATAGATTTGGGCCTCCCGAGGGTTTGCAAATGCGTTGACAACATTTTTGGAAATTGGGCTCAGCTTATACTTCCACTTAACGCCGGTCTTCTGTGAGGTCGTGGTACTTACCCGGACGAGCCTGCCCATTCGTGCAACAGCCGAGGCTGCTACATGGCCTAGCCATCGTCTTGATTACTTGGGCATCAACATTACGATCAACACTAAAATTTAAATTAGCAATTACATTGGTGCTGATATCAGGGCTTAAACTCGAATTGCTTAAACGATTGCTTTAAATTTTGTTATCTAAACCTTCCCGGGCATCAAAGACTAAATTGGATTGTAAGAATCCTCTCTAAAGAAAAGAAAAATGCATTTATTTGACGATAGTACATTGTTCACATAGCCGTGATAGCTCAGTGTCCGGGCGCTCGCCTTTAATTCAATATACTCGAGCAACCTGAGCTCGATCCCCGGTGCCGGCACCAATGAAGTTTTTAACTTTAAGTGCTGACTTATCACGTGCTCCGCGGTGAAGGAAAACATCGTGAGGAAACCTGCATATTTTCGAAATAATAACAAAAAAAATATTTCGAAAATATGTGTAGTCCGCCAATCCGCAGTGGGGCCGCGTGGTGGACTATGCCCTGATACCCTCTGTATAGAGGAGGCTTTTGCCCAGCAGTGGGACATGTATAGGCTGCTACTTTACTTTTACATTGTTCACATTGGAACAAAAGTGTAATGCATATACATTTGAACTATAAGAGAAATGAACAAAGAGGCGATGCATTAACATTTGAACCATAAGAGAAATGAATAGACCTTTTTGATCGTGGCCTCAAATTTTCGAGAGGAAATGACTGTATTTATAGAATTCCTCAGCAAGGCTCCATTACCACGCGAAAGTATTATGCCGCGGAGAACAAATAGTTATGTAATTTTTATTCTCAAATAGACTTTCTCTGCAATATACCGAACTTAACCGAGTATTATCGCAGAATGTAAATTTTATCCAAATTATCTGGTCATGTTTGAGAGAATTGAATGTAGTCAAGAATTTTTTTAAATATTGTAAAAATATTGAAAAAAACTTGCAAAAAATAGGAAATGTCAAAGGCACTGGCAAGAGATTTAAATCTCTAAAACCAACTTTAATCACATTTTCATATTAGGTGTTAACTATTCCATTCAGGTCATACTTAACTTTTAAAAAAAATTAAGTGTCTGTGAGGTAAAGGCGTTTACGTTAACTACTAAGCTCGGTGCTCAAGATCGATAATCATATTAACAACCTACTTAGCCTACCAGAGTCAATACTACCTAAAGCTTGTTAGTAAAATGTCATCTGAATAGATAATTAATTAAATTTTACTCCACTCACGTAATCCACTAACCAAAAAATGGGTTATCTGTAGATTCCATTATGAATTTTCGCTATGCGGTCGGATGAAATTTACGTCAGTGATAAATTGTCTTTCTTAAAGCAATCTACAACGCTCCGTAATTAGATAATGAATCTAACTGATCTCACGAATAAGCCTTTTTAAGTATAATGAATTGGGATCAGGAATTTACAGATGGTCCTTATTCTTTTATTTGGTGTGTAAATAGTGGTACAATTGCACTAAATTTTTGAACCAATCTCAATTACGTCGACTTAGTTCTGCAAAAGTAATAAATGCGTATAAAATCAATTTATTTTGACATATTACGTAATAATGAAATCGAGTTATACTTATTGGAAAATATAACTGCATACTCTGAAAATATTGGGGCTTTACCTATGAATGAAACTAATTTTACGGATTTATCGCGTTTATTTTTAATTTTAATTCCCGACGTTTCGAACCCTTTACAGCGTTCATGGTCACGGGACAGTCTGTTAAAATTAAAAATAAACGCGATAAATCCGTAAAATTAGTTTCATTTATAATGTGTAATCGCGTAAATACAAGAAAAAAAAAATCTTTACCTATGAAATTGAAATTTGTATGAAATAAGTTATTTCTATCAAACTTTTTTATTTCTGTTATTCAGCGTAATTACTCATGCAATCGATGCATCTTTGCCAACAATGATGCGCTTCTTTAAAAATTAGCTGGACTGGAGGCAAAGAACCCTTCAAAGGTATTTTGTATTGCCTCTCGGGAATTAAATTTTTTCCCCGCTAAAAGTTGATATCTATTTGCGTGATGTAGTTAGACAAAAGTTAAAATACACTGTAGGAAATCTACAAACAATATGGCATCTTAGTAACTAAGTTTCTCACACTAAAGTACAACCAGGACTAAACATAAGGGAAAGTTATGCTTAGAGTTTTCCGTAGTCATTTTGCCTTAGCATAATAAAATGTAACCAAACAACAACGTAAATCTTTTTAAAACTTACTAAAAGTGTATAGGTATATAGCAAAATCAGAAAGCTCTTGCTGTTTTTTTTAGCTAAGAATGTCACAGGAATCTATTAAAAGAGAAATGAACATTCCAATAAAGTGTCGAGCTTAGCTGTAAGAAATGAAACAACATAAATCTTTTACTTCTTTTAAAGGGTAAAAGCAGAAGATGTCTTAGTTTAGTCTCAAACATGAAACATATAGTGCTTTGTCGTGGTACACGAGGCACGACTTTTGGAGAAATATTATTCTATTTTAAAATGATAAATACCGTAATTTTGCATATAATTTGACCTCACCGCACTCAACCACAATAAAATAACTTCTTAAATAAATTGTATTTAAAAAAAATTAAAAGCCCGCCTCAAGAATTCTGATTCTTCTTTTCTTGGTGTGTCTCCAAATTTATTTTCTTAGTAAAAAGATTAGTTTAAAATAATTTTTATAGTTTCTTGAAATAGGTCATTTATTTTCCGTTTTCATAAATATATTGCCCGTTTTGTAATACGAGTAAGGTTTCCTTATGAGAAAGATTTGTGTCGATTTACTTTCTTGTAGAAATGGTACTCAGATTTCGCCGTGTATTCCAAGAGTTGAACTGCCGGTCTCATTATAGTTATTACTACGATAAAAATAACTGGTACATAGGGAACTGCGCGCTCTTAATTTCCCCGAGGAGCGACCACCTTAATAGAAAGACGTAAAGCCATTGCGTGAAAAGTGCTAATATTTGTTGATGGCTTGTGAATCTTTCGTTATTTCTCACCTCGTCGTATTTAAGTATGGTACCTGTATTTTTAAAACAAAACAAAAAAACATTGCTGATTCTCTTTTATTTCACTTATCGTTTCGTCAAAATGTCTACCATTTTAAGCGCTCGGTTAATAACTATACTAAGAATAAATTATTATATTTAACTCTTCCTACAGATAACGCACCCATGAGCATATGCGCAGCCCTTCGCAACGCGGAGGACCGTATTAAGTTGTATGAGTTTTGCGTTCGATACAGCTTTCATTTTCTACGGACTGAAATAAATAACATCAGTTAAAGTAAAATTTTAAGATTTTAAAGATTTTCTTTTAAATTACAGAAAACCTAAACATTTCACGTGAAACTTTATTTAGGCAAACACGAGCCGTGATAGCTCAGTGTCCGGGCGCTCGCCTTTAATTCAATATACTCGAGCAACCTGAGTTCGATCCCCGGTGCCGGCACCGATGAAGTTTGTAACTTTAAGTGCTGACTTATCACGTGCTATGCGGTGAAGGAAAACATCGTGAGGAAACCTGCATATTTTCGAAATAATAACAATAACAAAATATTTTTCGAAGATATGTGAAGTCCGCCAATCCGCAGTGGGGCCGCGTGGTGGACTATGTCCTGATACCCTCTGTATAGAGGAGGCCTTTGCCCAGCAGTGGGAAATGTATAGGCTGTTACTTACTTTACTTGGTAAATACTTGAAATGCTGATGCTTACCGCATACCGATATCCAAACACGGATAACTTGTTGTCACTTATCTTTGCTCAACGTCTATCAGGCTATATAATTATGTTGATGGAAATGTAGCTTTTACAGTTTAAGTACTGAAAACGTAAAAGTATATGTAAATAGGTAAAGATGGAAAGGGCCATTCCCATTTTATTGCTAAATAGTCAGTTAAATGCCAACATAATTGCGTAAATTAGCATGATGTTTTTAATTTTTTTATTCGTACGCGTTGGTGTTTCTGGCTTTGTTC